GGGCAAGGGCAAGGGCAAGGCGAAAGCAAAGGCAAAGTCAAAGGCCTCGAAGTCTTCTGACAGGGAGACGTGGGCGGGAGAGAATGCGTTTAGGATTCGGTCGCACGCCTAGCGTCACAGCCCGTCACCTCGGCTGGTCACATAGGATCAGCCGAGGTGACGGGATGTGACCCCCTATTTGCTTGCAATCAAATAGGGGGTACACCCCCTATGTGATTGCAATCGCATGGGGGGTGTAACATCTGTCATTCATCCATCGCTGCCGTCCCGCAGGTGGAGCTCGGAGAGGCTGCAAGCTGCCGCGCTCAAGTGCAAAGATACCGATGAGAAGGTGAAGCTCTTCCACGACCACGCCGACATGACTAACTTGGCCCACATGCGCTGCATATTCGTTCCTGCCGAGATCAAGACCGAATTTTCTTTTGAAATGCCTATCATACCCGCCCATCACGACCCTCATCCGCTTTCTGATCCCCCCATCCTCGTCTACCCATCATGACCATCTCCTTCATCATACCTCCCATTCATACCCAACCCCCCCTCATCCTACACCCCCCTCTCACCCTCCCGCCACCATGTAATCCCGCGCCTGCACCAATCCAGGAAATTGTACGGCCGCTTCAAGACGGCGCGCAAGAAGAACGCCGATGCCGAAGCAACCTTCGCGTCGGTTCCTGTTTGAAAATGGGGAGGTTATACGTATGGAGCTTGATGTCATTACGGATCAGTTCTGACTTGTTCGGGAGGTCGGGCAGGGGTGGCAGGTATATTAATTACCAGCGATAGTTCGCCATTTCGCTAGGCCATGCAGAAACGCCACCTGGTTTGTGATGTGTCGGGGTAGATTGGGAGGGGGGGGGTCGTGATCGAACTACTCGACGTCGGGGGGCCCGTCTGGTAGCGACTTGACCACCCTCTATACCCCGAAGTCGTACCGTGCGATGCCACTCCCTCCCCCGAGCAGGTTGACCACGGCGAGTCGGAGGCCGACGAGGGCAAGAACGTCTCGAAGGCGAAAATGCCCGCGGCCTTCCTCAAGGACCCCAACTTAGGGGACACGTTCATGACGGTGTGCCAGCAGCTCCAGTATTCTGAGAAGGTGGATTGCGAGGAGGAGTGGGTGAGCCGCAAGCAATTGCTGGACGTATACTCCGAGAGCGAGGCCGAGGAGATGATCAATGAGCAGAAGATCATTGTTCGGTCGTTGTAAAGTTTGACTGCGCTGCCCCCCTCGACTAATGAGGCGTGCGAAAATCCAGGCCCATGTGGGCCGCGGTGCCGCCCCCTCACCTTGTCTCCAAATGATTGGCGGACGTGATAACACATACGTATTAGATAGATGGCGTGGGCGAAGAGGGGGGATTACTTGGAGGAGACGGGATAACGGTGAGGACGAGGACGGGGAGGGTGAACCATTGGAGACGAGGCAAGAGGGCTACTCCAGATTTCGAAATAAAAGGGAGGGGGTCTGGACCCTCCAAGACAAGCCATGTCAGACCTCCCCCGCGGGGGAACCCTCCAAAACATCGTCCCACGACTCCCCAGATCCTCCAAGATAGCCTGGAAGAGACCCCCCGAAATGAGACCCCCCTCTCTTTATTGCGAAATCTGGAGTACCATTTGAAACTGCCACGATGCCCAACCAATACATGTCACATGCCACAGCCAGGTTCGCCCGAACCCGCAGAACCCGAGGCGCAAGCAGTTCAAGATTGTGAAGAACAAGAAAACTAAATCGTTTTCCCGCACCAAGACTCAGGGGCCCCAGGGCTCGAGAGCGGTCTCCGCCGCCGAGTTCGGCGAGATGGGGAGGGCCATGGGGGGTCTCAACATGTCCGACGACTTGGCGACTCACGGCGTTCGGGACATGGGAAATTCGAGGGTGATGCTGATGATGACAAAAAAGGGAATACGATGATGGGGTTCAGGAGACTGGGGGGGTGATGATGATCAGGATGCTGAGGATGTTGAGATGATGAGCATGATGATGATTACGGGATGACGAGCAGGATGAGCAGGATGAGATGAAGTAATGGCGGCGGGATGTAGGCACATGGAATTCATGCATGGGGTTGGCACGACTGTGAGAAACTGATGGGTTAGAGGGACGGCAAGCGCAGGGAGTTGGTAAAACGCTCGTTTGCAGGCAGCATGACGCACATGGGGCTCGACCTCCCAGCCGTGAGTGAAGATCTGCCGCCGACGGGCCGCGGAACTGGTCGTGGAGCTGGGGGGCGCGGAGCTGGTCGTGGTCGGGCTGCCCTCTCAGATGTGATCGGCGCCGAGACGTCAAACTTGTTCGGTTCAGATGAGATCGGCGCCGCAACGTCGAGCTTGTTCGGTTCAGATGCAATCGGCACCGACACGTCACGTTTGTTCGGTTCAGATGCGATCGGCGCCGAAATGTCAAGCTTGTTCGTTTCAGATGCAATCTGCGCCGGGACGTCAAACTTGTTCGGTTCAGATGCGATCGGCGCCGAACGTCATTATTATTCGGTTCAGATGCATTCGGCGCCGACACGTCAAGTTTGTTCGGTTCAGATGCGGTCGGTGTCGACACGCCAAGCTTGTTTGGTTCAGATGCAATCGGCGCCGAAACGCCATGGGGACCAACGGTCGGCCGTCGTCGTCGTCGTCGTCGTCGTGCTCGGTTCGGTAAGGATGGTAAATCCGATTTGGGTTAGTCCAGAACAGCACAGCCGAATCAAGAACCCGACCAATTCTGATTTTGAAGCTGATCCGACACGAGATCTGAACACCCCTCACCCTTTTATACACGTTCCTCCAAATGCTCCGTCATCCTCCTGGCCCGTCTGCTTACTTGGTATCCTCGTCGCCTTAACACCTGTATCATAATGAACCCTTTCAACCCTGGCCAGGACCTCCCCCCGATTAACCCGATCGCGGCAATGTTGCCTAGGGCAGCGGTGCCATCAAGAAGGAGTTGAAGAAGATCCAGGCCGCGGGGGAGACCGTCCACAGCATGAAGCCCGAGAACGTGAAGTCCGCGCAGAAGGCGCTCGAGGAGGTCCAGGAGATCCAGCATGCCAGCAAGGATACCACATTTTGAATACACTCCCCCTGGTATGTGCGAGACAACAGGTATAGATAAACATCGTGATCTCAGATCGTGAAAGGTCATGCGGGTCAAAAGCATTATACATATAGATGTGCCTGTTTGTGTACAATCATGCGTTCACATGGTCACATGAGCATTCACGTGTCAGTATACATATGTATATGTGTATGTACCAATACCTGGCACGTATGATTGCTACACGTCGCGAACGTGTGCATACATGCGGGCAGCCATACATTAACCGACATGCGTTGCATCACATAAACCAAAATGGTTAGCACAGCATGACAGTGTCGCCCGTAAGGCAGGGTACCACAAGTTCGGTACTATAGCAAATGTATTGATCGTCAACCATGCAATGGTGCACATGCGCGACCTGAGCAGCACCAAACCATACAGAGAAATCCTAACAGAGACAACACCACTCCCCGAGGCATGTTCAGTATCTCTGCAGGCTGATCGCATCGGCATCATCGCGATCCACGCCCCATCCTCCTCCCAGCCGAGGGGGGGTCCCTCTCCCAGTCTCCCCTGTCACCCTTGCCGCCCTCCCCCGAGGACGGCGCCGAGGGCTTGGCCGCGGTGATCAGGGCTTCAAAGGAGACGGCGAGCGAGGCGAACATCAAGCATGCGAAGCAGGCCCATTGGGCGCGATCATAGAGTGGAGTAGGAAGGCTGGGTGGAGCGGGTGATGGGAGGTGCTTGGCGAACGGATGGCGGAGGAGGATTGGCGGATGGGTGAGAGGAGTCGAATCAGAAGATGGCAGAGATGGGCAATGGAGGAGATGGAGAATAGTAGAAGATGGATGAGTGGGAGAAGGGTGAGAAGAGGTGTTTACATACATATGTGTACACGTCATAGCCAAATAGGGTAGTGCGCCGACCCACAATTATCGGTGTTTTGATTCTGGTGTGTTCGATCGGCTTGAGCATTTGATATGTGTGTTCTCATCGTGCTATGATTGTGAGTTTGAGGCTGGGCTTGCTGGTGAGATTGAGCAAGTGGAGGTGTGCTTGGACAAATGTGAATTGCTCTCGGTTTGCTGATGCATCCCCGTCCGTGTCGCGCGGGTACCTCCCAGAGGCGTTGGATGCCATCACGTCACTGAACGGCGCGGCCTCCAAGCTCCTGGTCGAGGACATGGTCGACGTCCCCAAGGCGAGGGCGATGATCGCCAAGGCGAAGCAGATCCTGGAGTCGACCAGCAACCTGGCCATCGTGCAGTAGCTCGCTAGGCTGCCCGTGCAGAGACCAGCGCGTCTCCACCACCCCACTTCTAGCACGAAGAACCCTCTCCCAGCAGGTGCCCCTGACACGACCATGATCCTTAAATCGGTGGCAGGGCCACTTCCCAAGGTAAGGCGATGGCTCGAAGATGTGCCAACGTACCTGTCTTAATGCATGTGGCAGTCGGCGAGGGGCAGCAGGTTGGTTGGAGGAAGAAGGGGGGAACTGTTCTATTGGACCAGTCGTTGAAATAGTACGGTGCGGGATATGGTAGTGGGAAGTAATATCGTGTCTTGAGTGGGTGGCAGACTCTGCGCGTAGCAGTTGCGCAAGTGCGCCTCGGGCTGCGGGCATCCAGCCCCGTGGAGCCGCGGTAGGTGACGCTGGCGAGCCTCCCTCATCTCTTCCAAGTTGTCTCACCTCCCCTCATCTCGGATGCCATCCAACTCGCCGCCCATTCATGGTAATAACGCGTGCCCGAGATTACCAGCTCGATTGTCATTCCGTCTTGGGGCAGTCGTCGGGGCTCGAGGTTTTCTAGGCCCCGTTGCGGGTATGCCCCCAAAACGAAAGAGGCGTTTGGAGGCCCCGCCCGCGGCGAGCGATGATGATGCCGCGGAGTTCGAGGAGGTGCCTGATATCCAGTTGTCCAACTTGGGGACCCACCTCTTAAAATCTTGGGCATGGGGGCTGATGCCCGCAACGGAAGTCCAACGCATAGCGGCCGCGGCCTACAAGGACGGCCTGCGGCATGGAGAAATTTCCAGACTGGCGGCCCTCGGTCAGCGAGGGAATTACCCTGGCAACATACATCAACAGTTGAACACCATGTTAGGCCGCAATTCGTTGCCCCAGCCAATGGTACTCGAGATCCCTTGCGTGGACCCCAAGACGTCTGAGGTCGCCTTGGCCGACTGCGGCGTGCTATTGCCACATGAGTGGTTCTCCGCGCTCTTCCACAGATATGAGACAGAGTTTAACTACATCTTTGGGGTGGACCGCCTGGGCGAGTTCTGGGCCAACGCCAGCAGGTGACTTTTTTTTTGTTTTAAGAGTGGGGGAGAGGGGGTTTTGATGTTCCCCGCCCATTGGGCCGTTGAAAACGTTGAAGTGCCGCCACAATCCCTTGGGCAATCCATGCATTGTTCGTTCGGTGCCCAGGCATCGTGGACAAAATAATCCCAGGGACGATCTGCGTTTACGAGAACACCCTGTATTGGAAGTTGGCGATCGTGGGGCCACGTGTTTGCCGCTCAGGCTCCACGGCGACGGGGCCGAGTTTCTCACGCGAGACTCCCTGGTGACGCTCGGCGTGACTGGGCTGCTAGCAGTCGGGTCCACGAAGAGCCTCACCTTAAACTTGACCAGCTGGCCACTAAGTCTCACGGCAAAGGCGGCCCACCACGATGGGCACGACACCTTCTTAGAAATCTGGAAGCTACTGCGATGGTCATTCAACGCGCTTGCTAGCGGCAAGCATCCTTCCAGAGATATGGTTGGCTGTGCCGATCCAAACATGCGGAAATGCATTCGTGCGTGCATGTGCATACACGTGTTGATATATGACGCAATGTATGCATATCTGTATCGTCATATTTGTTTGTTTGGATGCGCACACATGCACAATCACATTATGACATTACACATCAACAAACACAGCCCGCGTGTAGGCTTGCACATGGTCTCTCGTTTCGTGTCGTTGCCTGTGTGTGGTTGACCGTTGTGCGTGGGAGGTCTTCATGTGCCTCCATCGTTTCCCCTTGGCTCTCCTGCACGCGAATGCCGCCAGTGCACTCGCGCGGCCGCCGCCGCGATAGGCATTGCGTTATCTGGCCCGCAGATAGAAGGAAGGGGCAGCTTGGGAAGGAGCAACTTCGGAGGATAAGGAATTGGCGGGGGTGAACGGGAGCGGCCGGCGTGGCACATGTACCGTGACGGAGGGGCCGCTGACCGCCAACGGACCCTCGGCGGAGCGGGGTGTCGGATTGGAACGGAGAAAGGTTGGATCCAGATCGTGCGAGACTTGCGGGGCAGTGGTTATGTTCCCCCAGCAAGCCTTATCGGGCTTTCGTCTACGCCATGCTTGGCGATCTGGAGTTCTACGCGTCGCACTTGGGAATGCCATTCCCAGGTGACGACCACTTCTGTTGGTTGTGCCCGTGCGACAAGAGTGACGGTGAGAATGCGTTCAACAACTTCCAGGAGGATTGTGGTTTCGGGCAATGGGGGAGGGGAGTGTTTCGTGTTGGGCTGGGGGCATCAATTAGGGTTCCCCCCCGAAGGAGACGGCAGGCCATTGGAAGTTCCACGAGAGGGACTATAGGGTTGACCACCCATTCTTTTCCATCTGGGGAGTATGCATACACATGCTCGCACTAGACGTCATGCACACGCTTGACCTCGGAGTGTCTGGGCACGCCGTGGCCAATCTCATGTACGAGATCGTGTGCGAACAGGAACGAGGGGTCAGGAACAATATCGTAGCTAAGCTTTGGAAAAGGATCCAAGAACTATACCAGGAAGATGGCGTTCAGCATCGGTTGTCCAGATTCGGTTTCGGCACATTTATTGCGGACACACGCTCGCCACACTCAGAGTACCCCGTGCTGAAGAAATCAGTTAAGGCGGCCGAGGCCAGGGCCCTCGCCCGCGCGTGCTACAAGCTGTCCAGAGAATACGACACGGGGACCCAAATTAAAAAGACACGGACATTATTATTTAAGAGCTTGTGCAGAGTTTACCAGCTGATCGACGATGGGGGGATGTTTTTCACACCTGACGAGTGCAACGCCATCCAGAAGGCTGCCGACAACTTTCTCACTTGCTACCAGGCGTTGTCCAGAGATGCAGCCGACAACGGTAAGCTTAAATGGAGCGTAGTAAATAAACACCACTTCATGTGGCATTTGGTGCGACAGACCCCGCTTAATTTCAAGTATACCTGGTGCTACCAACCCGAAGATTACCAACGATACATTACTAGGGTAGGTGCCGCGTCCGCCGTAGGGACGCCAAGCCACGCAGTCAGCTCTAAGATTGCGGAGAGGATCCGATGCGCGAGGCATATTATTGACTGCGTCAGTCCAGGCAAGTACGGATGAACGGTTGCTGTCATGGTTGGATTACGGTGGTTGCGTCAACGCTTATGTACACACTATTGGGGGGTAGGAGAGTGGAAGGGGAAAGAAGCGTGGGGGTGGAGGTAGGAACGAGGGGGGGAAGGAGAATGATGGTTCCGAGTCTTCCCCCACTGGCTCCGCCCCAACTCCCTTCCCCCTCGCTCTCCCACCGCCACCCCCGCGTCCACCCGTGCCCCTCCTCCGCCACCCCCCCTCCCCCGCCCGTCCCGTCTCGTCGCAGTTCCCTTTCTTCCCACCCACCCCTGACTCCCTGCCCTCTCCACCCTCGATATCCCTCCTCCTCCTCCTCCTCCTCCTCCTCCTCCTCCTCCTCCCTCCTCCTCCTCCTCCTCCTCCTCCTCCTCCTCCTCCTCCTCACCATTCTCCCCCCTCGCCCCCCCCCCATTTCGTTTCCCCTCGCCCCAATCTCCATCGCCAACGCCTGCCCATTGGGCGCGGATCTCGAGTTCACGCGCAGCTCACTCGAATAGGCGGGGCACCGACAAGCCGCAAGCAAGGCCCCCCTTAATCGGAGCGGGGGGCGCAGGGGCAATGATACGCAACTTGTGATGCAGGTTACGATGAAGAAGATGATGACGACGGCGACGGCGATGACCACGATGACGGTCATGATACCGACTATCATAATGATGACGAATATGGTAATGGTGATGATGGCGGAAACGACGATCGAGGTTATGGCGGCATTTACGGGGACGACCTGACGATGATAATGACGAGGAGGATGACGCCACACGCAGCGATGCAGGACGACGGAAGAACTAGGGCGTCATGATGAGGCCAATGGGGACGACGATGCGTCATGATGAGGATGATGAGGATGATGGTGATGGTGGTGATGATGATGATGATAATCGGGGGGCCTCGCTTCCAACTGCTATTGCACTGCGCGCTGCTAGGCCGTCCCCGCCCGTCATCCCCCTACAACGTTCTCGGTCCTACAGCCCGCTACCACATTCCTACAATCCTAACCCATGCTCGCACATCCCTCATCCATCCCTCTCTCGGCATTCCTGAAATCCCCATCCCTCTCGCTCTCTCTCTCTCTCTCTCTCTCTCTCTCTCTCTCTCTCTCTCTCTCTCTCTCTCTCTCTCTCTCTCTCTCTCTCTCTCTCTCTCTCTCTCCTCATCCACCACACATTTCTACAATCCTCACCCATCCAGTTCTTTCGCTCCTATCCCTCTCTGGGCAGCCTGCCGCCGCCCTGCCGCCGCGGCGGCGCAGAGGCGGGAGAAATGCGGCGCAGCGATGGCGGAAAAGCTACGCAGGGAGAAGGGCCGCTCCCAATCTCTCTCCCCTCCCTCCCCCATCCCCACTCCTCTCTCTTCCCTGCTCCTCTTCCCCCTTCCCTCCTCCATCCTCCTGGCTAGTCTCATCCCTCCTCTATCCTCCCTCCTCCACCTGCCCTTCCTCCCCCTCCTCCCCCCCCACTTCCCTCCTCTCCTTTCCTCTTCTCCCCCCTGGGCCGTCGCCTGCTGGACTCAGTTCGAAATTACCCGCGGCGTCGACCTGGGCCTCGCGCTGGCCCTGGCGACCCGCTTCCAAGTGGCCCATGGTGGTGATGATGGTGATGATGATGATGATGATGATGATGGTGGTGATGGTGATGATCATGTTGATGATGATGATGATGATGATGATGATGATGATGATGCTGATGATGATTGTGACAACCTTGGTGAAAATTGTGGTAATGATGTTGATGATAACGACGACGGCGACGGTGTTGACGATTATGATGATGGTGATGATGTTGTTTCTCGTCAACATACGTTTTTAGTATCTGCGCCGCCCGTGCGTTCGTTGCGACGCGCAGCTAAATATTCAAATTGTACACTACGGGGTTAACCCGTTGAGACCTTGTGATACCTAATGGCCTATCACAAGGAGATGTTGCCGAGCGAGCTTGGCATTGCCGCGCATCCTTCGGTCAAGAAACAAATCACGCGCGCGGAAAAAAAGGAAGGAGGTTTATGATGATGATGATCATCATCATCATCATCATCAATGACGGTGATGATGATGATGCTGATGAGTATGGGTATGAGTATGAGTATGAGTATGAGTATGATGATGATGATGATGATGATGACGATGACGATGACGATGATGATGATGATGATGATGCTGATGCTGATGATGATGATGATGATGATGATGGCGGGGTAAAGGCCTTCAGGTCTCGGAGCGGCCTCGACGACCAGAGAATTGCGGGGCAACGGCTGCGTGCCAGGGCCTCGTGCGGCCCAAGCCAGGGCCGCAAGAATTCCGAACCGAGTCCAGCCGAAGAGGAGGGCACCCGTATGTTGCCCACACGGAAGGCCGCGGGGGTCGAGAGAGCTCATCATCATCATCATCATCATCATCATCATTATCATCATCATCATCATCATCATCATCATCATCATCAGTATCATCATCACCATCAACATCATCATCATCAGCATCTTCATCATCATCAGTGTCGTAATCATCAATTCCGCCCCGCTCATCATCCTAACCATCATCAGCAAAAGTCGGTAACGATCGGTAACCGACCTCGGCAAAAGTCGGTAACGGTCGGTAACTGTCGGTAACGGTCGGTAACAACGTCGGTAACAACGTCGTGCGATTCGCTAAAATCCGCTACCGTTCGTTACCGTTCGTTACCGAAATCTGCGTTTGTCCGTTACCGTTCGTTGCCGTTCGTTACCGAAAAAAAAGCGGTAACGGTCGGGATCGGTCGTTCCCGTTCGTTACCCAAATTTTTGGGTAACGCATGATCTGGGAAGGGTCGCGCGGGGCCCCGCCGCTGCTGGCGTTCGCCCCAGAGCACGTGCAACCTGGTTGCGCGTGGGCCATGGCAAACGACCCGAGCAGGGCCATCGCGGCACTGGAGCTTGTCGGCGCGATCGCCAGAGGGAAGGCGTTCTCGAAGCCCCAGAAGCGCCGCCGCGGGGCGAGCTCCAAGATGGCGGGGTCGACCGACAACCTGGACAACGCCTGCGCGGTGCCCGGGGCCGCGTCGACCAAGCGGCCGCTGACGGTCTCCCTCATCGAGCTCTCGGAGGAGCTGAGGTCGCGCAAAATGGCGACGGGCTTGGATCGGCCCCCCGCGCGAGGATAATGCGGGAGACGACCTCGACAGCGCGATTCTGACGGACTTTGAAGAATCCCCCAGGATCCACGCCACGGCCGCGGACCTGAAGTGAGACGTGCTCGACGAGACGACGCAGGCCCCACGGGAGTTCCTCGTCGCGATCGCGGAGGGGACGGCGGCCGCCGCGAGGGGGGCGCCCGCCCAGGGAGGCGACCGCGAGCGACGTGCGCGACTAGAGCTGCGGCAGCAGCTCCGCTCGGGCACGCCCCAGACAGCGTCGCACAGGCGGGGGCCGGATTGCGGGGCGCGCGAGCGGCGTCGAGGCCCCGCGCGACCCTTCGGGCCGGGGGCCCGACCACAGCGCCGCGGTGGCGGAGCCGGAGCGTCGGCGGCGTCGGGGCCCCGCGCGACCCGTCCGGGCGGGCGCCCGACCGCGGGGCGCTGGCGCGCCCAGGATACTGCGCGCGCCAATGGGCGCCCCCGCGGCGACAGCCCCCTTCTTTCTGCCCGTGGACCCCATCCTTCCGCCGCGGGCAAACGTGGAAGCCCAGGGCGGAACGGGTGCCCCGATCGCGGCGGGCCCCATGGCGGGCGGGCAGGGCTTCGAGGCCGCGTCCGCGCTGCGCTTTGGCACGTGCGCGACGCAGGGCGGGCGGAGGCGTTGGTGGCGTGGGAATCGGGAGTGGGTGATCTTGCGCGCGCGCGGGGGAACCGTGGCCCGTGGCGGTCGTGCATGTCATCGGATACGTGCGCGCCAGGGCCCAGCTTCGCTTGAAACGGCCTGGCGCGTCGATAGGGCGGGCACCCGCAATATTCGGGGGCGGCAAAAAAAGGGGGTGATGACTAGGGGGGGGTGGATATCACGGCGTGGGCCATGATATTTCCATAGATTTCATGGCGTCTCTTCTTATTTCAATACGTCCCTGGCCCCCAATCTGGGCCGCGCACATGCCGCCAGCCATGATTTGCGCCCCCCTCTTTGACGCCCCCCTCTTTGTCGCCCCCGGAATACGCATCCAGGTGCCAGCCACAACCGAGTCCGACCGCAGCGACGAGGAGCCCAAGCCAGGGCAAAACCATGCGACCCCGGATCACGGCGGCAAAAATCCGCTCGAGTGGGCTGCCGCTGCCGCGAGACACGCCGATCGCCCCACCGCTCAGTGGAAGGTGCAACCTATGTGGTGCCAGCTATGCGCTGCAGTCTATCTGGTGCAAGTTGTGTGCTGCAGCTCATGGGGTGTAGGCTCTCTGGAGTTGGCTCTGCGGAGAAAGCCGCGCGTGTGACGCAAAGCTGTTCGGAGCAGACTCTCTCCCGATCCCTCGGGCACCATGTGCTCGCAGCATCCCACACAGCAAAATGGGCGACCCGGTCACCGAGCCGCCGTGGGACTGCGCGCCTCGGGGACCCTGGCAGGCTCCCCCGCGTCGACGCCGAGGACCGGCATCGCTCGGACGTGTGCTTTCTCCTTCGGCGAGGATCGGGAGCGGCCAAGAGGGGGTGTCCAAGAGGGGGGGTGCAAGTCATGACCAGCGGCACGTGCGCGGCCCAGCGGGGGGGCCAGGGACGGAATAAAACAAGACGAGGCGCCATGAATTCTGGGGAGATATCATGGCCCACGCCATGATATCCACCCCCCCTAGTCATCACCCCCCTCTTTTCTGCCCCCGAGAGGACAGTCGAGGAGCATCCTTTGAGCATTTGGCGAAGAAACCACACACGAAACTGAACAAAAACACAGGGAATGGACGTCCGAACGATGGCCAGACGAAGGGTCCCGCCCTGCTATCCTCCGCAGTGCCGGCCAAATGTTTGCCCCACCCGTTCACGCATTCGACGGGCTCGCATGACGAAGATACGCTTTCGGAGGTCCGCGAAGATTTCGCGGATTGCTGGTGGGCCCTGTGGTTTCTGCGTGTTGTGGAGAGGGTGCTGAGACGTCGGTCCAGCGTTGTCCAAGGAAGCCCGCCAGGAAAGCCAGAGCGTTCCGAGCGATGGGGAATGGGAGGTTTGTTTGAGGAAGCCCGCGCGGACTTCCTAGAAATGATCTTCACGTCGTCTCGTTTTGTGTGGTGTTCTTCTCAATCCTGCCTTCCTCCGCGAAGCCCCAGGCGGGACCTGGAACAGCTGCGCCAGCGCCAGCGGGACAGCAAGGCCAAACGCGTCTCTCGGCCGAGCCTTCGTGCAAAGAGCACGTTCGCAACTCGGGGGTGGACGGCGCGCTTCATTATTCACGCGGCAAGTTGGTCGACTTTCATTGGCTCGGGGAGGCCAAGCTTGCCGGTGGTTCAAGGACGAGGGGCGTCAAACAACATAAATTCGACCTGGGGCCCCTCCCTGTCCTTGGGGCCCCGGCCCTCAGGGCCCCATCCTTGGCCACCGCCGGCTTTCCGCGGGCTTCCTCCAGCGGAACGGCTCTCGTCTTGCTTCTACCGGCCTTCCGGCGCGTTCCGCCGAGGAAGAGATGCCAAGCCCTTCGACCCCCGAAGGCGAGGCCTTTCTTCATCCCGAGAGCAACACTGAGGAGGAGGAGGAGGTGGAGGAGGAGGAGGAGGAGGAGGAGGAGGAGGAGGGGAGGAGAGGAGGAGGAGGAGGAGGAGGAGGAGGAGGAGGAGGAGGAGGAGGAGGAGGAGGAGGAGGGGGAGGAGCAGGAGGCGAAGGAGGAGGAGGAGGAGGAGGAGGAGGAGGAGGAGGAGGAGGGAGGAGGAGGAGGAGGAGGAGGAGGGGGGGGGTGAGGCTCGAGGAGCGGTCGGCCAGCTCGGGGAGCGAGCTGAGGGACCGCGGGAGCTCGAGGGGAGGGCAAGGCCCCTCGCCAGAGAGGGAAGGTCTCGCCGCGGACCCTGCCGAACGGCAGGTGCGCTCCGTCCCGAGGTCTTCCTTGGTCCAGGCTGCCGCATCGGGCCGGGAGGACTAGACCCAGAGGGGGACGAGGACGATCCCGACGAGACGGAATCACGGGGAGGAGCGAAGAGGAGGAGGAGGAGGAGGAGGAGGAGGAGGAGGAGGAGGAGGAGGAGGAGGAGGAGGAGGAGGAGGAGGAGGAGGAGGAGGAGGAGGAGGAGGAGGAGGAGGAGGAGGAGGAGGAGGGAGGAGGGGAGGAGGAGGAGGAGGAGGAGGAGGAGGAGGAGGAGGAGGAGGAGGAGGAGGAGGAGGAGGAGGGGGAGGAGGAGGAGGAGGAGGAGGAGGAGGGGAGGAATGGCGGGCGACAGAGCATGGTGCAGGAGGAGGAGGAGGAGGAGGAGGAGGAGGAGGAGGAGGAGGAGGAGGAGGGCAGACGCGCTCACACGCACGAGCCCCCCGCGGTCCTCCTGCCCCCTGCCTCGCCCACTCCCCGCTGAGCCTGCATCTCCAGTCTCCCGCCCAGTCTGCCTCGCCCAACCCAGTCTCTGCCCCTCTCCTCCCCCTCCGCCGTGCCCAATCCTTGTTGAGCCCGCGGGGCGTTCCGCAGGTTCCGGGTGGGGCTGGGAACCGGGATAGTAACTGGGGAGGAAGACGAGGGTGGGATGGAAGTGAGGGAGAGGATGAGGAGAAGGAGGAGGAGGAGCTCGAGGGTGAGGAGACAGTGGTCAGGACGGGGGGGGGAGAAGGAGGATGGGACGAGGCCGAGGAGGAGGAGGAGGAGGAGGAACTGGAGGACTGACAGGAAGAGGGGCACGTGGGGAACGGAGGACCAGGACCACAGCAGGAGCAGACCACTTTGCGGGGGGAAAGGGACGAAGGGGGATGATGAGGACGAGGAGGACCAGTGTAAACCCAAGGCTCACAACGATGTTGCAATACACCCTGAACGCTCACTCAAAGTACCCACTTCATAAATTATGTTTCCTGCTTGGAGTACATCGTTGGAAGACAACCGTCTGGCAATCTTGAGCCGTGCCAAAACACCATTCCTGGGACTTCAACGCCGCGAATCAACGCGACTGTTGCGTCCTGACGATCCCGAATTGTGACAGAGCGCAGTTCTTGGGATTCCAACACCGCGAATCAACGTTATTTTTGCGCCTTCACTTTCCTACATCGTGCCAAAACGCGATTTTGGGGACGCCAGCCATAAGAAGCTCAGATACTGTGGCAACCTCTTTAGACGAATGTGCGCGGCGCAAAGACGAGAGCCTCATTCCCGGAAAGGGCGGGGGCCCAAGGTTCTCTTTTAGTGTGTTTTCTCTGGTTCTGACGGCTGTAGGGCCGGCGAAATTATTCTGCGATAAATAACGATGTCGCGTAGGCCCGGCAAATTAGAACTTGAGGATGTCTCGAGCAAAACGCTTGTGCTTCAGAATTTGTTGAGGATGTCTCGAGCGAAACGCTTCTTTTGTGTTGTAGATGTTCCTCCCCTGGGGACCTGAATTCAGAGGATCTCTCAAGTGAAATGCTTGTTTTCACGTGCCCAGGTCTTCAGGATGTCTCGAGCGAGACGCTTGGTTTCACGCCTCCAGGTTGCCCAGACAGATGTCTAGCATGAGGATCTGTTGAGGATGTCTCGAACCAAAGGCTTGTTGTCACGTGTCCAGGTCGCCCAGGCGGATGTCTAGCATGAGGATGTGTCGAGGAAGTCTCGGTCGAGACGCTTGTTTGCACGTGTCCAGGTCGCCCGGATGTCTAGCATGAGGATGTGCTGAGAACGTCTTGAGCGAAACGCGTGTTTTCACGTGTCCAGGTCGCCCAGGCACAGCACAGCCCTCGGCACGGTAAATCAATATCGATACCCTTAGCATTGCAGCCTGGCATGTTGCCTGGCACGTTCCGCGGAGCGTCCCGTGGCGAGTCCCCATGGCACGTCGCGCGGTGCACGTCCATTAGCACGTTCCGTAGCGCGTCCCTTGGGCACATCCCGCGGTGCGTGCCCATGGCACGTCCCCTGGCACGTCGCCTGGTGCGTCCCTTGGGACGTTCCGCGGCGCGTCCTCCTGGCATGTCCCCTCTGTCGATTAGTTCTTGGGCAGCTACCATCTGCTCAGGCAGCTCGAGCTTAAGATCCAGATCAGTTCGGTGAGGACTCGGATGCAAAGAGGACTCGATCCACAACACTATATAGAGCACAATCGCGGCATGGCACGTCGCAGTTCAGCACGGCCCAGCACAGCACAGCCGTCGGCACGGGACATCAAGATCGATACATTCAACATTGCACCTTGGCACGTTCTTTGGCGCGTTCCCTGGCGAGTCCACCTGGCACGTCGCGCGGCGCGTCCCCTGGCACGTCCAGCGGTACGTCCATTGGCACGTTCCGTAGCGCGTCCCCTTGGCACGTCCCGCGGTGCGTGCCCATGGCACGTCACCTGGCACGTCGCCTGGTGCGTCCCTTGGGACGTTCCGCGGCGCGTCCTCCTGGCATGTCCCCTCTGTCGATTAGTTCTTGGGCAGCTACCATCTGCTCAGGCAGCTCGAGCTTAAGATCCAGATTTGTTCGGTCAGGACTCGGATGCCAGGGAGGACTCGATCCACAACGCTGTATAGAGTACAATCGCGGCATGGCACATCGCAGTTCAGCACGGCGTAGCACAGCACAGCCCTCGGCACAGTACATCAAGATCGATACATTCAGCATTGCATTTGCCCGTCGCCCAATCAGGTGTCTCTGAAACGTCGCCATGCCTTACATTTCTATATTCCTTTCTGGGTTCGTGGGTCGATCATGTTTTGAAAATGAGCCGCCTTCCCTCCGCGAAACTCCTGCGAACTGTTGAGCCGAATGTGCGCGGCGCGAAGGCGAGAGCCACATGTTGAAAACCGCCTGCCTTGCATCTGCCGAACTCCTGCAAACTTGCACGGCGAATTCAACTGTGCGATGCTAAGGCGAGAGCCACATTATGACAATGAGTCACCTTGCAGTCGTGAAGCTTTCACAAGCTTTGAAAACGAATGCGCGCGGCGCTAAGGCGAAAGAGACGTTTTGGAAACCGCCCGCTCTTCATCCGAGAAGCTCTTGCAACATTTTGCACACGAGTGTGCGCGGCGCCAAGGCGGGAGGCACGTTTTGAAGACTGCCCGCGCTTCACCCGTGAAGCTCTTGCAAGCGGTTAAGACGAATCCGCGTGGCAGCAAGGCGAGAGCCACGCTCTGACATGGAGCCGCTCTCCGTTTGTGGAGCTCTCACAGACGTGCTCAGGAGGAGGAGGAGGAGGAGGAGGAGGAGGAGAAGCAGGAGCAGCAGGAGAAGCAGGAGAAGCAGGAGAAGCAGGAGAAGCAGGAGAAGCAGGAGAAGCAGGAGGAGCAGGAGGAGGAGGAGGAGGAGGAGGAGCTCCGTTTGTGAAGACGACCGTGCGTGGCCTCAGCGCGAGCGCCGCGCCAGACACGCGGCGCCCGCCCTCCCCCCGGGCAGCTCCGGGGAGGCCCTTCGAGCCGAGCGTGCGCACTGTGCGCGGCGCTCTGCGGCGAGGGCCACGGCGACGCGCCGCGCCCTCCGCCCGTGGAGCTGTGCTGCAGCCGTGCAGCCCTCCTCCTCCTCCTCCTCCTCCTCCTCCCTCCCTCCTCCTCCTCCTCCCTCCTCTCCTCCTCCTCGTATTACTCCTCCTCCTCCTCCTCCTCCCCCCCACCTCCTCGTATTACTCCCCCCTCCTCCTCCTCCTCCTCCTCCTCCTCCTTCTCCTCCTCCTCACCGACCGGCCACGCCGCGCCCTCGGCCCCGCGGCCGGCCTCCTCTCAGGAAGGAGAAAACCACACAGACACAATTCATCGCCGATCCCCCAGAACTATGAGAAAATGTGGGAAGTGGTGGGGACGACAGAAGCCCAGAAAATATCGGAAAGTATGGGGAGTCTGTTTATTTGTGTGTATTTATTTGTGTGTCCCAGGGCCCCTTCATCCTCCGCGGCTCTGGGCCTGCGCTCCTGCGCGCGGCTGCGCCGTGCTGTTCGTGCGCGCCTGCGCTAGGGTGTCTGTGCATAGCGGTCGGTGCCCCCGTGCGCCGAACGATCCGCGGATGTGCATGCCTTCTCGTCCAGGCACGTGCCTGCACACCTGCATCCGCATGCCCGCGCGGTGCGCGGTGGGGCCCCGGCCTGGGCTGGCGGGTGCGAGACCCCGCTACCAGTCCCCGCCCGGGCTGCCAGCTTGAGATGCGAAACGAGAAACGAGACGAGGAGGAGGAGGAGGAGGAGGAGGAGGAGGAGGAGGAGGGGGGGTCTTTGCCATCAACGATGCAAGGCAAACTCTGAGCGGGCGTGGCCAGCACGGGCGCCACGAAGGCGCCGAGCACGACCCGGAGCACCCTGCGATGAGTGCACTGCACCACGCCCTCATCATCGCTGCACTCGAGTGGAGGTACAGCGAGGCCCACCTCGAGCATCACCCCACGGCCTGCATGACGCCGCACACCACCAGTAGACCAGCACAAAGATAACGAACCGCCTGAACACACCAAACAATACGCCGAAACCCATTGACCCGCCCAGTGCGTGCAGACCAATAACAGTGTCGATGAGCATCCGTGGGTAGAAGGCTTCACTCAACCACCACGCAAAACGCCATCGGAAGTAAGAATGATGAATATAGAACATCGCACAATCGCAAGACATGAAAAGTAGACATCTCCAGACCTGTCAAGATGAATGAATGCATGAAGCACCGCCCAACCATATAAAGAAGACAATCCATAAGACAAAGCGTCTGCCTTACTTGTCCAAGCGGGCCCACCGGGACGCTGCCAAGAACCCGGAGCACAAGACACAAAGACAGAGCGTCTGCCTTATTTGCCCAAACGGGCTTGGGCCAGGCTCAGCCACTCGAGGACGCCGCCAAGAACCCAGCCCAGATAAAGGAACGATGCTGATGCCACAAGCATAAGGCCCACGCCGTCGCCTCAGCCACCAGTGCTGCAAGTCCCACAAGGGGAAACCTATGGGCATCGCGGCACTAGCCACTGAGGAAGAACAGAACGAGCCGCATGCCAAGTCGCCAGCGAAGACGAGGATGGACACGCACGCCCCAGATAGCATAGCCCGGCGTTCACCGATGAGGAACAACGTTAATCATAAGCCCAGGCACCAGCGCTCAAGTGAGCCCACGTATGGTGCAGCCCCAGGGCATCACGGCGCTGGCAGCTGGCTCTTTTGAACCAAAGATGGTCTGAGCCGAGATGGGACTTGAGAAGGGGAGGAGGAGGAGGAAGAGGTGGAGGCGGAGGAGGAGGAGGAGGAGGAGGAGGACATGATGATTTGTCTGTGGGGAGGACGGAGCTGGGCGGGGGGAGGAGGAGTGGGGTGAGCGCGCTCGGCCACGATCGAGGCAAGGGAGAAGGCCACCTTCGAGGGCATCTTCGAGCGCGGCCAGGGCTTCGCCTCGGATAACCGCCCGGCCGGCGGCAGCTCCAGGCCGCGCGGGGGGGGGGCGGGGGAAGGGCAGGGGCGCACACGGGAACGCCTGGGCTCTGCCTCCTCCATGACTCCCTCCTCCCCTTCCTCCCTCCTCCTCCCCTTCCTCCTCCTCCTCCTCCTCCTCCTCCTCCTCCTCCTCCTCCTCCTCCTCCTCCTCCTCCTCCCCCTTCTCTGTCTCCATGTCGTAGTGGCCCCCGGGCCAGTGCCGCCGATCCGGGGCGCTCCCGATGCTGATGGGGATGGGTGGCCGTGTATGCTGAAGATGCAGCTCTCGTTCGAGACATCCTCAGAAGATGCACATGTGGAAATCGGTTGCGAAGCACACACACACACACACACACCGCTCCCTGCAGAGCGCTCAAGTCCACGGCTCCCGAGCACTGAATGGCGTCGGGGGTGGCGCCCCCCCCTCTGCAGAGCGACCCCCCCCCGGCCCCCGAGCACTGAATGGCGTCGGGAATGGCGCCCCCCCCCCCCCCTTGCAGATCGAAGCTTGAGCGAGCTTTTAGTCCACGCTCTCAGAAACACGCCGGATCGGCGGATTTACTCCTCCTCACCCGTCCACCCCTGCTCCTCCTCTTCCTGCTGATGGTGGTGCTGCTCCTCCTCCATCAGGTTCGTGCTCCGTCATTTCCTCAATCCTCATGGTCCCCCACTCCCTCCTCGTCCCGCTTCTCCTCCGACTGCTGCTTCTCCCTTCACTCCTCTATTCCTCTCTCCAGCGCACGTGATCTCCTTGCGGAACAGGGGCAGAGGAGCGCAGCGGGCTGCGGTGAAGGTCCTTGCTGGTGCTCGGCCAACGGCAGCACGCATCCACTTCTCGGCGGCCCCGACCCCCTACGCACAGGTTCTAAGTCGGGCGTGTCCCTCGACAGGGGGAATGTTCAGAAATGATACAGAAATTGTCCAGGGACGGTTTTTTGACTATTTTTGCACATTGGGGGGTCGGAGGTGGACAGACCTCCTACCCTGACACGTCGATTAAGGAATTGGCCGTTTTCGGTTCGCGAGAGGGCGTCGCGGCCGTCGTTTTTGCGGGTCCAGGTCCGTCGATTTCGGCCCCAGGTCGTTTTCAGCCAGGGGAGGTTTGTGAAAGGGAGGTTTGTCCACCGCCGAGGGGGGGATGCTTTGAGTAGTTTCGATTTCTCGCCCCAACTCCCCCCTGCAGGGGGACACGCCCGACTTCACGCAAGTTACAAGTTTGAAACATGTCCCTATCCCTACGTTTGACATCACCTCACCTCGATGCCGATCTTGAGGATTCCCTCAGTCTCTGAGGGCCTATCCCCAAGATTGTCCTCGCTTTTTGCTCGCCCATCTTAGGGATAGGGATACGTTCCCAACCCCGCGACGTCATGATTTTTGCATTGCGCGACCCCCAGAGGTCCAGACCCATTCCCCGGGACCGGTTTTTCCTCCTAACTCGCTTTTTGACGGCCCCGAGGCCCGGGAAGGGCCCCCGGAGGCCGAACATGGCGAAAAGCCTCCCGTCGCGACTTTTTCCGGACGCGAGGAGGTCTGGGTTCCAGGCTGGTTCGCAAGCGGCTGGCCCCCGGGGGGCGGGCGGGCCGCCCTCGCGGGCGGCCCCCGCCGCGCGGGGCGCGCACGGTGGGCCCCCCCATGGGCCCGCGGGGGCCGCCCTCGGGGCCCCGCCGCCTCCGGCCGGCCGGGCTCCGGGCCGCCGCGGGAGGCGCCAGCCCTCGGGGCCCAGCGTGCGCCCTCGGCGCCCAGCTTGCGAACCAGCCTGGAACCCAGGCCTCCTCGCGTCCTGAAAAAATCGGGAGGCTTTTCGCCATTTTCGGCCTCCGGGGGCCCTTCCCGGGCCTCGGGAGCGTCAAAAAGCGAGTTAGGAGGAAAAACCGGTCCCGGGGAATGGGTCTGGACCTCTGGGGGTCGCGTCATGAAAAAATCATGACGTCGGGGGTTGGGAACGTATCCCTATCCCTAAGATTAACACGCCAAAAGGCGATGACAATCTCAGGGATGCGCCCTCGAAAAAGAAGGGGATCCCCAAGATTGGCATCGTGATAAGGCGATGCTGAACATAGGGATAGGGATATTTTCCAGGCTGGTAAGAAGCGTCGCCATGCCTTCCATTTCTGCACACATTTCCGGGTTCGTGGGTGGATCACGCTTGAAAGCAAAAAACCAATACCGAAAGGGTTTCGGCCCTCGGAGCCCAGTGCGCCCTCGGCGCCCAGTCCGGTGTCTTGGAAGCGTCGCCCTTGGCACCGCTCGGACGTGTGCATTTTTCCTTCGGCGAGGGCCATCGAGGAGCAGCATCCTGGATCATTTAGCGAAAAAAAGCCACGCACGAAGCCGAAACAAAAACACAGGGAATGGACGTCCGAGCGATGGCGAGCGCCATGCCTTAGATGTCTGCACACCTTTCCGGGTTCGTGGGTGGATCATGTTTGAAGACAAGAAACCAAGACCGAAAGGGTTTCGGCTCCAAACTATTCAAAAAATGCTAAACAAATAGTCCCCAGTCTATTTTTTGTGACAATTTTTGAATATTCGTCGTATAGAAGGATGGGCCCGACTTTGGAAGCGTCGCCATGCCTCATATTTGCACTCCTTTCCGGGTTCGTGGGTGGATCACGTTTGAAGACGAAAAGCCAAGACCGAAAGGGTTTCGGCCCTCGGAGCCCAGTGCATCCTCGGCGCCCAATCCGGTGTCTTGGAAGCGTCGCCGTGCCTCACATGTCTGCACACCTTTCCGGGTTCGTGGGTGGATCACGTTTGAAGACGAAAAAGCCAAGACCGAAAGGGTTTCGGCCCTCGGAGCCCAGTGCACCACCAGAGTTAAGTCGGGCGTGTCCCCCTACATGGGGAGCTTTGACGAGAAATGAAAGATGCCCTAAACATGCTCCAAGATTGCAAACATTGCTCCAAAAAATAGTCCCCGGATTATTTTCTACTATTTAGGAATATTCTTCCTGTAGAGGGACGGGCCCGACGTAACACCAGGGGTGGGGGCCCAGTCATTCTCGAAGACGCCCGCGGCGAGTCGCCGCCGCCCCTCTGCCTCTTCTGGAGAGGCGCCCGCGTGGCCGGAAGCTGGGGTTTGAGCTTGGCCAGGCTCTCGGGCCACGCGTTCCCCGTGTGGGTTTCTGATCTGGACGCCCGAAATGGGTACCGAAAGAATGGGTACAATGCCCAGCAGCAGTTTCTGTTCATTCTGAACAGGACTCGCTGTCCGCGCCGCCGCGGCCTGTGTCCACTTGAGACAGAAGGCCGCCTGCCCATCGGCGGCCGCTGTTGGTTTGGGACAACATTTGTTGTTGGGCATTGTACCCATTCTTTCGGTACCCATTTCGGGTGTCCAAATCTGAAGCCTTCAGGGAGCACGGAGTCGGGCGAGCTATCGGACCAGGTGGTTTCCGAGCTTTCCTGGAGGACGTGTTGGAGGGGTCTTGGGCCGTCCTGGAGGCCTCTGGCGGGCCTTCTCTGGGCTGTCTGAGGCCATCTTCAAGCCATCTGGGGCCGTCCTGGGTGCATCTTGGGGCCATCTTCGCTATCTTGGAGGCCTTCTTGGCCGTCTTGGAGGCATCTCGGAGGCCATCTTGGCCGTCTTGGAGGCCATCTTGGGCGTCTTGGGGGCCTCTTGGGCCGTCTTGGGGCCTTCTTGGCGTCGTCTTTGGGGCCTCTTGGGCTGTCATGGGGTCATCTTGGAGGCCTCTCGGGCGCTCTTGGGGCGATGTTGGGGGCCGCTTGGGCAGTCTTGGGCCGTCGGAAGGCCGCAGAGGAGCACAAAAGCCAAAATCCTTCAAAAACCTATGGAAAATCAATGATGTTGACCTCGTCGGGTCGTCCTTGAGAACCCAGGCGGACCTCGTCGAGGGCTCTTGGGCCGTCTTGGAGGCCTCTGGGAGGCCTTTGGGGCCGTCTTGGGTGTTTCTTGTGCGAATTTGGAGGCGTCCTGGACTCTCTTTGGCCGTCTTCGAGGCCATCTTGGACCATCTTGGGCGAACTTGGAGGCCATCTTGGCCATCTTGGAGGCCATCTTGAAGCCGTCTGGAGCCGAACAACTTTTCACATGTTGTGCATCTCTGCGCGCCCTTCCGGGACGCTGGCGGGATCGGCCGAAGCCCCAGGGGGAGTTCTTTTCCCGGAAAGGGCGTGGGCCCAGGGTTCTCTTTTAGTTTGTAAGCTGTTCCCCATGCCATGTTGGGGAAGGGCCGGCGGAATCATTCCCTGATAAATATCGAAGTCGGGCCGGCGGACATATTTTTGAGGATGTATCAGGCGAAACGCTTGTTTCCGAAATCACGATCGATAATTTACAAGGTGCGGACCATTTTTCGTTCGTCATAGATGTCTCGAGCGAAACGCTTGTTCCGCAGAGTTTGCCAAGGATGTTTCCAGCGAAACGCTTGCTTTACATTTCCAGGTCAGGCCGCAGGAGAAAATCGAGGGGCCCTCTCCAGGAGTGTGAATCCGTATGTTTTTACGTATGTGCTTATATTTTGGTTCTCTCTAGGGTTATGAATCCGTCAGTTTTTACGTATGTGCCTATAGATTTGCCCTCTCCAGGGGTGCAAACTCCGTGTCCTTTCACGCATGTGCCTTTAGATTGGCCCTCTCCAGGGGTGCGAATCCGTGTTTGTTTAAAATGTATGTGCTTACATGCTGGTCCTTTGTAGGGGTACGAATCCGTATGCTTTCACAGATGTGCCGCCTACATATTGGCCTCCATGGACGGGTTAGATTCTGTGTGTTTTACGTATGTGCCCATAGATTGGCCCTCTCTAGGGGTACGAATCCTTGTGTTCTTACGTGTGTGCCTATGGAGAATCAGTGTGTTTTCACGTATGGGCCTAAGGGTGTATCTAACGTGCTGGCCCCGCGCTGGAATCCAGTGTTTTCACGTGTCCACGCCACCCAAGGGGGGTATCTAACTTGGTGGTCCCGGGTTGGAGCCATGTGTTTTCACGTGCCCACGCCACCCAGAGGGGTATCTAACATGGTGGTCCTGCGCTGGAACCGTGTGTTTT